TTAATTAAGATGGGCAAAGCATTCCAGTGGTCACTAAAGACATTATTTTCAAAGGGTCCATGAAAAAAAAAAATAGCAAACCAGATTGTCTTTGTACACTAGTGGTCAATAATACAGTTTTGAATTCATACTGCAGTTACCTTTTGTTTAGAAAGCTTGTCCTGTTGAATGTTGTAAAGATTGCAAACATTGAAAATAACATTATCAATTGTTTTTAACCTTTCAGAATGCAAACCAATCCCTGAGGATTTTGAAATCGACAGCAGGCTTACAATGCTACCAAATCAGCTGGGACAGACGACATTTGAGGAGATACAGAATTCCTCTGTCGTGGAGCTGCTCAACAGTTCGTACAGCATCCCAGGAAAGTATCATCCAGAGATGAGGACATTCATATCAACGGTTATTTTCCCGCAATGCGATATCTCCGAAGAGAACAAGAGTCGCTGCTCTTCGTCACCAAATGCAGGCAACATGACCTCATGAATGTGAGTAGAAAAAGTACCGTTACGATAATGACTTGAATATAGTTAAAGTTCCAGTTACTGTTTTGGAAATGCTAAATCTAAGTTCAGTTCAGTTCATCCTAATTAGGTGACACCATGTACTGTCTCCACAAGTTCCTGTCACGCATAACATAGGACAGTTCAGCACCTCCAAGACCTATGTCCTCCTCAATCACCTTCTTCAGAGTTAAAGAAGGGCGACCACGTCTCCGCTTTTCCTTTGGTGACTAGAGAAGCACCAACCCTGCCATCTCTTCATGTCGCATGACATGACCGGCCAGAGACAGCCTACGGTTGCGGATGACTGTTGTAATCCTAGGCATATTCCCATAAAGTTGGTTATTGGTCACTTGGCTCCTCCATGAAATATTGAGGGCTGCACGAAGCAGGCGGGTGTAGTTCCCATCTAGAAGTTTACATAAGTATGCTGTCAGAGACCACGAGTCAGCTTCGTAGAGCAGGATTGACTCAGCGCAGGTTTTAAAACTTTTAGCATGGTAGAGTTGGATATTGGGGATTTCCACACTTTTGTTAAGGCATTAGAAGCCCACCAAGCTTGCCCAATCCTACATTTCACATCATGGACTGTGTTACCGTAGCTGCCAAGGTATTTAAAGTCATCAACTTGTTCAAGTTCAAGTTTATTTATTTCACCAGGGAATACCTCAGATCCATTGATCTGCTTTTTAGGTATCCCTGGGCACACATTAAAACATACAATTTCATAAAAATACAAATTGAACCCAACAATATACAGAAACGTTACAAACATGTACATACCGTATACTAGTATAGATATTGTAATCTAGGAATCATAGAACGACGTGTCGTTACACTAGTAACTTGGACAACAGATTTTCGTAGTGATATATTTGGAAGGTCTTTGTATAATTTGTAAGGGACTTGATTCACTTGAACATATATTTGGCGTCGCGTCTCGGGCGCCAACACTGATAGACGTATTTGCATATGAATAGTGTATAGCGTGGGAGGGCGATCCGCATCTGTATGTGAATATTTGGCCTAACATTACTTGTGAAACACACTTGGTGATCAATAATTACAGATACAGTAGTTGGTACTGATATTTGTTGTTAGTCTTTGGTACGTACTGTATATTTTTGTGGCATTTGTATGATTTGAGCACGTCGGCGACGCGTCCGACCGCCGTTTGGTAAACAAATTTACATATGTATTCAGAACCTAGCCGGGCTAATT